GAGGTGTAGGGGCCAAGAGGGTGGGGAGGGTATAGGAAGGCGAGGCCTGAGCGCAGTCAAGGCAGCGATTGTTCTCGGGTTACCGGCAGTCGCCGAGGGTTTCAAAAACATGGATAACATCTGGATTATGGACGAAACTAGATCGAATTTTTTTCTGATCAAGTAAATATATTTTTTCTAGGCAACAATACATTTTTTCATGTCAAAGATGAATTTTTATGGCAAGGATATATTTTTCACGTCAAGGATATATATTTTTATGTCAAGAAAATATTTTTTTCACGTCAGTGATAGATTTTTTAAGCAAAGAATGTATTTTTTTCAAGTTAAGGATATGATTTTTTAAGTTTTATAAATGAATGCATGTAATATTTTTTTTACATTTCCTTATTTTGAACTGTAAAGTGCTGTTTTATCATTTTTAAACCAAAAATATGCAATTGTGGTAAAGAGGCCAGGCCACTTTTTACAAAATAGTGTTTCATTAAAAATTGAATAACTCTATAGGCGTGTAATTCACATCATACATTCCTCATTAGTTGTACCTTTAAACAAAACAAAGAACTACCTTGTACCAATCAAAACTTCATCAAAATTTTAATTTAAAAAAGGGAGGGCCCGCTGCCCCATGTTACCTTTAAATTGTATCTGATTTTAAATTGTCGATTTAAGATGTTTCTCTAGAGGTAAAGATTCAATGATTTATATTTCTGTTATTACTCTGTGAACGCTATTATCCAATTGTTATTTTGTGTCATAATCTTAATTCAAGATTTTTATGCTTTTAATTTTTTTATATTCGTACGTATGGATTCTAATAGCATTCCCGTAACCTATAATGCATTGAGTGCGCAATTTTTACGATGGAAATTGTCGGAAGAATTTTCGCTAGAGAGAGAGAGGGAATAAATGAGCAAGAGATGATGAATTTAAAATCATAACCAACAATTAATTGCGTTGATGGCGTTTGAATTCAGTAATTCAGTACTTTGTTTGAAATATCGCCTAAAAAAGTAGGATTAAATACAAGGTATTTTCAAGATTCAAAGTTTAGTTTTCTTCCAAATTGCTTTGGAAATGGACATGTTTTTTTTAAAGCGCCAGCCACCGGTTTTTCATACTGTTAAGTGAAGGAACTGTATCCTCATATATTAATCAGTTACCTCTAAACTTTTTCGATTTTACTTAAAGTACGAGATATGATTTAGACCAGAGGTTTTCTTGATTTTGTGTCCACACGATCGAGGACGATCTTCTAGAAAGAGGGGAGATGTCCAGTGTCAATCTGGCGTCTCATTATATTATAATTTATTATAAGATTATATCAACCGTAATTGAGAAGTAATATTCACTTGACGTGATAAAGATTGATGGAAACGTACTAGACTTGAGTCAGCATGGACAACATCACGTGATAGTTCACGCGATCAAGACCTTAGTACAAAGTAGTGGGCGGAAGCCGTGATCCTATAAAAGGGCTGGGAATCTTAGTAAGCGCCCGCAGAAGCTGGCAAGTACGCACGCCGCAATGTAACTAGCGTTAGAGCTACTCCGACCTAACGGTCGACGTCTTAGCCTTTTACCGGTATCCTCTTACTCGTGTATTACCTCACGTATCAAGATAAGTTCTCTAGACAGATAGTGTCTTAGGGTACGCACACAGTGAAAGCCGGTTTGCCCGCGCGGGCAACCTGCTCCAACCTGCCACAAGAATGAACATAGGATAATAATGTAAGTGTTCACAATGAAAACCTGTACGAATAGGCTTCAGTATTCTATGATTTCAGGCGCCAGCCTGAGCAGGTAACCAGCACGCTGGCAACCTGCTTTCACTGTGTGCGTACCCTTACGGTCAGCTATTGCAATACGCTATTGGCAGAGCTGGGCAACGCTACTTTGAAATGTAGCGGCGCTACCGCTACCGCTACATGCTCTAAATGTAGCGGGCGCTACCGCTACCGCTACAGTAAAATGTAGCGCCGCTACATTAGCCGCAACAATGGCTAAAATTATTGGAAATCTCTAAATATTTATTGTTCTGCTATTGGGATTTACTCATAAACATTTATTGATAATAAAACATTTTCAAAACATATCAATGCAACTTTATTGTAATAAAACTAACCGAACTAGTACACGGTTTAGATACTGTAAATAAAAGTTAGTTATTTTTATGTTTTACCTTCCCTACATGGATGCATGTCTACTTTAATCTACCAATCTCAAAAATTATCCACATATACATATAAAAAATCAGTCTTTTATTTGCATATATATGTGGATTTTTTAGATAGGTAGATTAAAGTAGAAATCTATGTAGGGAAGGTTAAACATAAAAATAACTGTAAGCAAACTGAAACATGAAAAAATACCTGTAAGTGGTAACTGGTAACAACTTAACAAGTAACAACTAACATGTTGACACTAGTAACAGGCTGAGGTTGACAACATTAAACCGAAATCTTTCGTGCAGTTTTATTCTGTAATTTATATTATGTATGTATCATGCTGGTTTTCAATAATATTTAATACTATTAAGTAAAATCTAAAGGCTTTATCTATGAATGTAGCGGTAGCGCTGTAGCGGCAAACCTCGTATCGCTACTTAAATATGTAGCAGGCGCTACCGCTACCGCTACTGAAAATGTAGCGGCCGCTAGTAGCGCCCGCTACATGTAGCGTGCTACTGCCCACCTCTGGCTATTGGAAATGCGCAAATGTAGTAACCAATAAATATTTCTGACAAGGCTCTCAACACACAAATTCACGTAAGCACTGGTGTGTCAAGTAAAAGCACATAAGCACTTAAGCCAGGAAAAAATTCAAAAATAAATAATATATTATATTGAATTATTGGAAGGTTAATCAGTACTTTGTATCGTTTCGCAGGTCAAAATTAAAATTAGAATCGATTTATGAACTATAGACATGCCAGGTTTGATATATAATGGAGCGTAAAAATTTAATTTTTGACTTCACAAATTTACCTATAGAATAGAATCATATGTAAGTTAAATTCTACAATTTAAATCAATATAAAATGCAATCAATATAGTAAATTCAATAAAGGTAAACAAAAATTAAGTAATTTTTTTTGTCACCATTGAACCGTCGTTTGATCAAAATGTGAAAATTATTTTAAACTATGTTACACAAATTTTTCTCCGTTGATGAATTTTTTTAGACAATAAAAGCTCCCATGAATATTATTCTTAGTACGGCTACAAGCTTAACTGCATTGAAATGCCAATTTTGTTTCACGACATTATTCAAGCTTGATCAATGTTTTCATCTGTTTTGACATCAATTTAATTGGTAAACAGTTAATTTAAATAAAAGAAATTTCGTGAAAAATTGTTATTACAAGCCATCTCTGAGTAGCCATGCCGATTGACAGAATAAACGGGAAAGCATTTGCTAATTCATACCGAACTCTCAATTCTTCGCAACTCATTACGGACAAATTCAACTACTGTGCCAGCGCTATTCTTAACAAAGATATAATTAAAACGAGTTTATTTTTGCACGTGGGTATTACGCTTTTTCACGCGTGCAGGCTGGTTGGAAAAATTTACTAATGCAAAGTTAAATAACTTTCATAAGTACTCTGATCATGAATTCGTATATTTTTAAGTAGACTTTCACATTAAAATGGAGAAAATATGGTGATCTTATGCAGTAAAAATATAAAACAATATTAATTCACCAAAGCCTCCAAAACTTATGTACGAAATTACATGATTGTTAAAAAGTCTCTTCCAAGAATAGTTGTTCATTAGCTATGAGTTAGACCCTAACGCAATCAACAGTTGAGTTGTAATCAACAGTTGGGTCGTCATAATCAACAGTTGGGTCGTTATAATCAACAGTTGGGTCGTCGTAATCAACAGCTGGGTCGTCGTAATCAACAGCTGGGTCGTCGTAATCAACAGCTGAGTCGTCGTAATCAACAGCTGGATCGGCGTAATCAACAGTTGGGTCGTCGTAATCAACAGCTGAGTCGTCGTAATCAACAGCTGGATCGTCGTAATCAACAGTTGGGTCGTCGTAATCAACAGCTGAGTCGTCGTAATCAACAATTGGGTCGTCGTAATCGACAGTTGGGTCGTCGTAATCAACAATTGCGTCGTCGTAATCAACAGCTGAGTCGTCATTATTAGCAGTTGCATCGTCGTAATCAACAGTTTAATTCGTCACTGCCGTCGCTGCAGTGCGGGACGTCATCGCATACGTTCTCTTCCGCGACGCACAAGCCGTCTGGACACACATGACTCGTGCAGTCTGTAAAAGTGCGTCAAGTGAGTACATATTCACAGGTACATTACTAGAGTAAATAAATATTTACCGAAGGTATGACTACACGAGAATATAGGCTATAGTTTCCCGATATACTGAATTGTATCCAATGTGAATGGTGCACTTAAGAACATTTCAATGGATACTTAAGAACGATACACGCATACGAGTTCATGCATATGTCGGCGTCGGTGAAATTACTAATGAAAATTTGAATGATTATGAATACTTGATTATTTTGAATATTCAAATATTTTGAGTATATGAAGAATAATGGATAACCATCGTTTGGCTTCTGAGCAGTGAGCATCCGATCAAGCAAGCATGGTGACAGAAATCAAATGCTATTGCTTTGACAAGGCTCGATGATATTCTTAGTTTTCATAATATTCATTTGCGTGAATTGTTCTCTAATAAATAAGCAAAGTCATTTAAAACACGATAACAAATTACAAATCAAGTCATAGCTTATTTAAAATACTAGAGTAAGAGAAGATTCCACAATAATTTTAATTTATTCAATGGTTGTCCAACCACTAATCTCACGAAGTTGGGGCAGAAGGGCGTTGGGATCGGAGATCTTGGGATCATGAATCTCCTCAAATTTCTTGCGTTGCTCATACTTTATTTTGAATTGAGTAGAGAGGATCTTGGTTTGAGAAGATGCAGGATCTTGCAACACAAATTTATATAAAAATTTTATTAAAAATTGTCAAAGAATATTCAAGTAGCACAAAATTTTTTCTTAATTTTTAAAAAATTTGATACAATATGAGAATTATAACCATTTAATAGAAACCAGGTAAAAATTTTACACACATTTTATTAAACATGAAAATTTCACTCAGTTTTGGCCAGTTGCATTTAATTTGCCGCTCTATTCTGGTACGATTTCGAATGTATGGTTCTGTTCTAACGAAATTCTTTCAACTTCCGCAATGAAGTTTGATGGTACACCCCACATTTTATACTTACCGCATTCATCTTCATCAGAACGGTCGGAGCAATCCTCGCGGCCATCACAGCGCAATTCCTTCTTTATACAGACCTTAGATTTCGCACACTGAAAATCTTCATCACTGCAGCCTGTTGTACAGTTTTTTCATTAATTATTTCAAAAATTAAACTAGCAAAGCGATTCTCCGACATGAAAACTACAGATACAACGCCCTACCATGTATGACATTCATTTGTTATCGTTTCAGATACGGGAACTTGTCTGGTTCGACTGAAAATCTTAACTATCAAAATATGAACGTGTTTCGGTCAATAGCCGGACAGGATTGTTAATATTACCAGACAGGAGTTAGGAACAGTGGATTGCTCAAAACATTTATAAATATACAATAAAAACCCCATGAGTTCCACTAATGTAGTGCTTTTTTAATGTTCATTAAGAAATTAATAGGTAATATACAGTAGGTAGGTCAGGAGCTTGCAATGAAAAATATCGAAACGACGGGGGATTTCTTGATGCCTCTCTTGCATGCTACTTTAGATTAATAGAGCACAACGACATTGTTACGCTAATGACTAAACCATTGCTTACATATAGCTCTACTGACAGGTCCATATTATATCTAACTTAGATAAGATACATGCAATTATATAGACGTAATTACTGCGACTGATTGAAAAGTATTGATGAAATTAGTCAAACCAGTTGAGTTTGATTATACAAAATGAATGAATGATTGTACAAGATTACAAGATTAATGAATGATTGTTCAAGAATACAAGCTGAATGAATTATTTTACAAGGTAACAGGATGGATGAATCATTGAATGACTGTACAAGATCATGAGATGAATGAATGGATGATTGATCAAAAATTGTGACCGTTCACTAGAGTACACATGCATCAATAGTATAACTTGAGTACGCACGGCAGTTCTGTTCGTCGCTTCCATCAACGCAGTTCATTTCGCCATCGCAGACTTGGTGGCGGCTCACGCAAGAACCATCGCCACACTGGTGGTGAAGCCAGCAGCCTGTCACGAAAAACTATAGTTAAAACTTTTGCAAATCATGAAATTTTTGTAAGTAGACATGAAGTTAATTTTTTTTGGCTTTGAATTGAATACCAGGGAATCGCATTGCAGCTCAGGGACTTGGTTAAAACTATCCCTGAAAAACTATCAACAAGAGACGGGCTGTTTCTGGTAACTCTTCAAATTTCACGCGCCATGGCTAGATAGCATGGCAGTAACTGAAGGACTTGTATATACAGAGTCCATTATAAAAGTAATGAGCATGATGTTATTGTGACGCAACGATAGATGGCAGCGCGGTCAAACTGGCTGGGGAATGTGGTGGGGGATATGACCTTTCAGTGCATCTGGTCATCAGTTGAGTTCGAGCAGTATGAGCGGAGAAACGAGCCTCCGCGTGAAGTGTGTTTTCGACTTTTGTAACATAGCGCGCTGGAGCGTTCGCTGGAACAACTATACGACATAAAGTTTTGCGTGAGGCTCGGAAGAATTGCAACCGAAACATTCCAGATGCTGCAAGAAGCCTTCAAGGACGGTTGCATTTCAAGATCACAATCTGGGATGTGTCACAAGGCGTTCAAGGAGGGCCGGGAGGAGGTCGCCGACAAACCCCGTTCAGGACGCCCAACAACAACCCAAACTGAAGAGAACGTGGATCGTGTGCGCGAAGTTTTGCGATCAAAACAATGATCATTGTCTTCTTTGGCATCCGAGGAATAGTCCATTGTGAGTTTGTACCGCAAGGACAAACTGTAAACTCAGCCTTTTCCACATCCAACACCAAGTTACAACGTTTCTGAGAGACATTCCCGTCGATGAGTTTCAGAGTGCCTTTCAGGCGTGGCAAACACGTCTCCGCAAGTGTATTGATGCAAGAGGAATATATTTTGAAGAACATTGAACATTTGTACAAATTACAATCAATAAATGTTATTTGCAAGCAAATGCTCATTACTTTCATAATGCACCCTGTATGCATGACTTAACAGCGCGTGCAATAATCTAATAATTCAATATCAATAAGTCCAACGTATCATCTCCTATGGGTAAGAAGATGTTAATAAAAAAACAGGTTATTTGGGTGAGAGAACAGTGAGAATGCGAGTGAGTCTGCCATCTCCCCAAATTTAGGCGGCAAGACAAATGTTTTCAAGGTAGTTTACGGTGACCGGCATAATTAGTGGATGTTAAATAGCGTGAAACAATAACTAAAATTATTCTATCTCTGATTAAGTTCAGTCGCAACTAAAGCCAATTCAAAATTAATAATTGTTTGTTTTAGAGCCTATTTCTATCCAGGCAGTGAAAACGTTCAGAACTCATCTCCTAGCAAGCCATTTTTATGCACAATTCACTAACTGCAGTTTCATTGGCGCCCCCCGTCGCAGAACTGCGAGGCACGCACGCAGGGCGCGCCATCTTCGACGCCGCACGCCCGCTTCCCAGCAGGACACGCTGCAGGGAGTCACGGAAACGCGGAACAGAATCTGGACTTAATAATCTGGAACAGCTGGGCACTCACGCATGATTTTTTTTAGAAAATAGTGTCTCGTTTCTACTCACACGGTTACTCTCACAACAACATTACTCCGGAAAATTGTAGGGATTTTAAAAATGAAAAATCTCACAAGCTACTGAAAATGCGATCTTAAATTACTCCAGGTTGTAAAAAATACTCAAAATTTCATTCCCCTCACTGGCAACTGCATTTCTCACCTTCCTCACACATAAGATAATATCATTACTAAATGTTGATACAAGCAGCGAACCGCTACAACATTACGTTAATCAACAACAGAACAGTTGTGCAGACGAAGTGATAGAAATATTTTGTTACTATAAATTTAACTAACCTGCCATGCTACGTGACAGCAGTACTGCCGCTACCCAGACAAGTAAGAACTTAATCGTTGTGCTGCAAAAGTTGCTGCCAAATACTACCTTATTTCTACGAATGATTTCATTCATTGTTTGGGTCTCTAGAGTTACTGATGATCCTAAATTATCACGTTTAATACCGGAACAGATCATTTCAAGAGCGCAGTTGACTAATATTTCAACAAAATTTTGAATTGCGAATGCCCCACGGGATGTACTCACAGCAGTTGCTTTCGTCGCTCCCATCCTCACAGTCGGAGCTGCCGTCGCATACCTCGTGCTTGCTGATGCAGCGACCGTCTCCGCAAGTGTGGTGATCACCGCATGCTTAATTACAAAAAATCTGATGAAGGTTATGCTTTCTAGGAAAGTAAGCTTTATTTCCTTGCGAATATTTATTCATCACTGGATATTATCTATCTGCTTGATCTATCCATCACTCGCTATCATTCATATCACATATTTCATTCATCAATCGATCGCATTTATTCATCAATCGATCGATCTATAATATGAACATGGATTAATGAAGAAGTTGTTTTAACCTCGCTTAAACTCACACAAAATCTGACATGAAAAACCATGCTTTACCTATGGGTTGGGTGGTGGAGAGCATTTCAACATCCTTCTCGTTTTCGGAGCACAAAATTTGAATTTTAGTTTTTCCTGGGCCTGTCAACACGGTGAAGGAATTCGATGTTATTATTTAATAATGTTGAATCAAGATCGTACCATGTCACATATTGCAAACATGCAGCAATGTGCAGTGGTATGATGCCTATATATAGCTTAAATGAACTGATGTGGATTGAAATCTGTAGGAAACATCGGATGAAAAATCTGCCACAGTAAAGTGGAGTAATCCCGTCAAACGAAGGTGTGCTTTGCTCTATTATGAATCTTCATTGTTAAGATTTAAATGATTTGAAAATATCCTTAGGATATTTAACGTGGCTAAGCCTCTAATTAGGTAAAAATATACACGGCGTTCAACGATATTGCGGCAGGAAATTGAATGAAGAATGGAATAAGTAAAATAAAAATAATTGCTAAATGTGATGTAAATACAATGAACCTAATTTACTACACAAGAAGATTTCATATGTACCATAGATACCATAAGGTGATAATAATTGAATATATATAGTAAAAATCTTGTAAAATGAGGTTAATATTCGGTCACTGAATGAAGCGAATTAATATATTGAGACTCAGTTGTTGTTGGATATGGATGACCACTCTCACTTGATGGTCTCCGGACAGTAAAGAGTACTACGAAATGCACGAGTAAATGAATTAGGATTTATTGTGGGCATAAAACAGCGAATGGAAATGGTCAAAAATAATAAGTGGCGCATAGGTTTCTCACACGTGTAACGTTATAATATTTAAGGATATTCTCCATGAGCGCAAATAATCTTGCTTTGCTAATACCAACAACTGAACTTGCTCATCTGAATTAACAAACTCACGTAACATTAGCTCGACTTATTTTGTTTACTTGGCATAGATTGATATCATTGCGTTTCAATTGGTTCCCCTAATTTCCCCGCATATATACAAGTTGGCTTTAATGAATATTGTGCTCATTAGGAGGGGCTCAGTTCAAAAGTTTCCTAGGCTTTGAATCAAGTAAAATGTTAAACAAACCAATTATTTCATCTTCGCCTCATGCGTACTGTTAAATAATTTTTTCTTTACAAGTACGCTCTTTTAGCGTGGTAAATAATTTCGCTTTGGACCCTGTTTCCCCGATTGCACCCGTGAAGAGACGATCATATTTCGGTGCATTTTTTCTCAATCGTAATATAGTGATAATTTGTATTTTTGGGTAATACATGTTAGGCTAATCTGGCGTTAATCAAGAAGCCGAGTAAGCTATGTAACTGTTGAATCGGCAGAGAAGCCCAGCGAAGTTGGTCGCAAACCCCGGCGTTTGTTGGGAAACGAATAAATTATTCCAAGAATAGCAATCAATCATAAATATCTGACTTCTGGGTTTTCAAATAATTATTAGTTTGAAAAAACTTGACACTTACTACAATATTCTTCATCGGAACCATCGTCATCACCACAGTCACGGCATCCGTTACATCGCAGCGTCTCGTTTATGCAGAGCTTAGACATTGAACAATGAAAATAACCTTCCCCGCAACCTAGGAAACAGGCAAAAAATATTAAAAAATTATGGTGAATTTACTACGAATCGTTATAAAGCTCATATCGCTTTTACTCATAAATCAATTACTATACAGCAGGATCAAAATACGTATGGCCAAGCAGGATAACATGCGACTCCATTGTATCTTTACGCATCAGTTTAAATAAGTTATTGTCAATGTTTAAAAAGCATAAAGAACTACAACAAATTAAAATGAGGGAGTTTCCAAAATCATACATTATAAGTACAGTATTAGACTGACAGTAATAAAGTAACATAAAGACTCAGAAATCGAATTTGTCACTCGGGGTTATCCGAACAAATGAATCTTCAGTTAGATCAAACAACTAGAAAGGCTCGTAAGGAAACTGCGTCTTACTTTTATTGATACAAAAACTGGGTATACACTGTTGAGTATTGCGTTTTTGAAACATTAATTATTTTAAAGTTCAATAATTTATTGATAGCACAATAAGAAGGGATATTTATCATGATTCACGCAATGAATAATTAATTCAAATTTCGGATATTGAACGCCAGTGATCCTTGGAGAAAAACACTGCTCGGAAAATATGGCTACATAATCTCTTGCACACCATATGTGACCAAGATAGATTTCTCCATTTATATCACGAGCCAAATAATGTGAAAAATTATTGAAGCCGAAGTGTACATTACTCACCACAAGCTCTCCTAGACTCATCGTAGCCGTTGCGGCATTTACGATTGCCGTCGCAGAACTCGGAGAACAGGAAACATCCTTTTCCTTTGGACATTGTAAAGTCTTCGACGCCACACATTCTTTTTTTGTCACCGCACGCTGGATGCAACGAATCGTAGGCAAAATAATAACATTAGTCACATTCTATTCAAGTCCGATTACGAAAATACTTTGTTCCAATCGAAATAAATTTTGTTGGCCTCACACATTCATTTTTAGCATCTAAGTAAAATTTTTATAGTCGAATTAATGGATTTTACGGTCACCATGACCATAAAACTATGTTTAACTTGTTGTACTGATCGTCTCCTCATTAGCGCGTTAGTTAATGCAGATAATTAATGCAATTTGGCAGCTGTCACTATTGTATTATACGCACAGCAGTTGCGTTCGTCGCTGCCATCACAACAGTTCTTGATGCCGTCGCAGACTTCGTAGCGGCTCACGCAAGAACCATCGCCACACTCGTGGTGAATTCCGCAACCTGAAGGTGTCAATAATGCTCGGTGTCAATCAGGGGTCTCATTCTATTCATTATAATTATAATATAAGTCTCTACGATAATATCATCTGTAACTGACACGTAATATACACTAGACGTGATAGAGATTAATGGAATAGTACTAGACCTGAGTCAGCATTGACAACATCACGTGACACATCACGCGATCAAGACCTCAGTAGTGGGAGGAAGCCGTGATTCTATAAAAAGGCTGGAAACCTTAGTAAGGCCCAGTAACTACCAGTTACGCCGCAATATAAAATTCGTTACTAAGAGCTACTCAGACCAAACGATCGACGTCTTATCCTTATACCAATAATAAAACTCTCATATAACCACCCCATATCAAGATAAGTTCTCTGGACAGATGGTGTCTTACTTATCCCTCACGCACTTAGTCAACAAATACCTGTCCTCAAGATCAGGTAGATATACGTACGAAGTCTGGAGGCGCATAAACGTGCCTCCGGACAATAATGTCAAGATAACCAGTGGCAAATATATTATGTAAGTAAAAACTCTTGCACGCTATACTTTAAATTAATAGAAAACAATGAAATTGATATGCCACTAAGATAAAGCATGATATTTCTATTTTGTTGGTCAATGGCTGAGTTGTGGTACGGTGTGCAGTAGAAGTGCCCATTGCACCTTGATGAGGTCGGATTGGGCAATGAAAAAATGTTCTAGCATCAGGACTCCTGACATACTACATGGAGTGTAATTAAGAATGAACGAGCTCACATTATTCAAGTATTGAGGAGTAACATTAAATCTGCTCGATGTTGAGAGGCGTATAGATTTCGCATCCATCTTTAAGCAGCGCAATTTAGCCGTAGGCCTCATGACGGTGAAAAAATCAATGAGCACTCTGAATAATTTACATTTCTTAATGGCTCTAATTCTCAAAATGGCAATGATAAAGCTGGTATGGAATCCACTGAAAATTTCATTAATAAACGAATAAATTTTTTATGCAGTCAGATAATTATACAAAATTCTCAAATATAATGGAAAATTGTTGAGCTGGAGTTTGCAATTCCATCGAAATGAAAGTTAAATTTTCTATTGCATGGTCGTCATGTGAAGTTAGGGCCTACGTTAGGGAAATAAAGTTCATAATATTTAGTCGTTACGGGATAGGTTAAAGTAAAGTCTTCCATACCGTCTGCGGAGTTCATTCAAACACAGAAAAAAATGATGCGGCATCATTTAGCTTCACTGTTTTACCTGAACTTTTAGTCCATTCGATCATTTATTTGGAGTACCTGTACCACACAAGTCTTCTTGAAGTCACTCGGGTTTTTTATTTGAACCTTTGAAATTATGAAATTTTAAGTTAACCAAGAAATTATATGAAAATAAGTTAGAGCGAATCATACCGCAAGATTTTTCATCAGAACCATCGTCACAATCTTCGCGTCCGTCACACAGGAAATCTACTTCCACACAGCGCTTGGACAGCGAGCACTGGAAGAAACCTTCGCCGCAACCTGGTTTTGGAAAAAAAGTTAAATTGTGAAAAACGATCAGCAAGGAAAACGAATTAAAAAAATATAAATTGTAATGAAAACAATTTTTAGCAGTTTACAGTGTCGTTAAAACGGCTGCGAACGTAATTGCAGAAAATCTGAAATGGTGCTTAGTGTTCATGGACTGTGAAAATAACTTAATACAGAATAACACTTCAAAATTATGCTGTATAGATGATTTCCATTGAAACCAATATGCAGTGCATCTCGTCCAATAGTTGTAAATTGATACAGTGCACGAACTAGAGGAGTGGTCTCATTGATATGCTGCACAAACAAACGACATCTGAAATGTTAGGGCAAGATTACACATTTGCAACCTAAATGAATATATAGTAAACTATAGGAAATAACGACGCTTTAGACATTTTTATGCATTAATTTGACTGGTCACTCAAACATTTCCAGCAGAAAAATACCGTAAACCTGCATTGTTCCGCAGGAAAAAAAAAATAGTTCACAAACTCTGACACCGAAAGTTGCCAATTTTATTTTCAACTGATTTTCCATCAGTAAATAGAGTTCGTTCCAGTGCCTGGAGCTGGAAGTTAATGAACAAAATATAGGCAAGGCTCACCGCAGGCCTCCATGGATTCGTCGTATCCGTTTCGGCAGTGTCTGCTACCATCGCAGAACTGGATTGTACGTACACAGTCCGTTTCCCCCGGCAAACTGCTTTTATTAATACCACAGGCTCGTTTGCCTGCTCTGCAAGCTATTATATAGGGAATATTAGCATGATATTTGTGTCGGCTCATAAATATCTATGTACAAAATTGTACTTCCATTCCTTAGAAGAATGATTTTGCTTGAGATTCGTCGATATCGAATATCACAATCACGCTTCCAATCAATAATAATACGGTCACTGGGGACGGTAATAAGCACAGCTTATTACCTGGGGTTGAAATAATAAAACAAAACATGAAAAAAATGAATGAACACTGAGGTTGAATGAACAAAATTGCGTCCGCTCATCGCATTACAAATGTAAATCTTCGGTACGCACAGCAGTTGCGCTCGTCGCTGCCATCACAACAGTTCTTGATGCCGTCACAAACTTCGTAGCGGCTCACGCAGGAACCATCACCACACTCGTGGTGAACACCACAACCTTAGCCAGAATACAAAATCAATACTAGTTAAATTAAGTTGTTTAGACATAGAGTTAAATTTATGATCAGTGTAATCTCGAACAAATTTTTCTGATTTTCTCTCTGACTATAGGTCAAATGTCTATCAACGGACTTAGTTCTTCGTCATTAGTGCTGAATGGTTGATTGCAAAATGCTGCCGACTTTACGATCAACATTATCATAAATCAACAAATTATCTGTACGATTAAATAGTATGACTACTCATTGACCAATTTTACCATAATTAACCGGAAGAAATATTGTTACACGTTGATTATGCCCGATATTTACCATTATTTTCGGGCACTAACGGAGCTGTCGAGGTTGTCTCAACTTCTGGGCAGGTTTTATTGCCATATGTCCACTTTGTTCCATCTGATATAGGAAATTAACCAACCATAGAATAAGGGGAAAAACGAAAGTGCTAATTAAAAAAGCCACATTGTGTGACTAGTATAAGTACACGTTTAGTAATAAGATAACTTGTTTGGAAAGAATTGTATTACGTATCAAAGAAATTATACTGACTATCATATTGTAGACACTAATTAATTATATTTACCAGTATTGTAATGAGACGAAAACTTGAGGGATTTTAGTGAATAGAAAACTTATATAATCCTTTGTATTATTTAAGTTATCATATTAGAACATATTATTATCGTGGGCATTATTTATAAGCAATGTGAACTGAAATTTTACCGCAATAAGTCTCGTCGGAGTCGTCATCGCAGTGCTGCCGTCCGTCGCACCGCAATTCTTCTCGGATGCACATCTTCGATAATAAACATTGAAAGTACCCGATTCTGCACCCTGACAGGAGTAATAATATATAACTAAATGTTAGAAAAAATGTAATTATTCTTTTCAGCGCAATAGAGCTAACATTTTTTATTGTTTTTTCAAGTTTCGAAATTCATTGCTTCACTAAGAAATTTATTTATTCAAAATTCATTTATTACTATTTTTTAGAAACAAATAAGTGAGAATGACACCAAATAGCTCAGTTAAAAACGACGAGACTGCAGAGGTGAAGCTTTCTCGAGGGAAGGAACGGAATAATTTCAAGCGTATAATAGGTTATCGGTTATCGTTAGTACAGTCGTTCCCTATCCATACCATACAGTCGGTAATGTCTCACCACAGGCCTCGCGGGACTCGTCGTATCCGTTGCGGCAGTGGCGCCCGCGGTTGCAGAACTGCGAGGCACGCACGCAGGGCGCGCCATCTTCGACGCCGCACGCCCGCTTCCCAGCAGGACACGCTGCAGGCAGTGTCAGGGATTAGG